ATTTATATATATATATATATATATATATAAATATATAATTTATAATTTAAAAGTACATTTCTAATGTAAACTGTTGGATATTTATCATTTCATTCACAGTAATAAGGAAACTGTATACATTCATTTCAACAGGTGGACTTGCCTGCATACTTTCAAAAATAAAAACATCTTTCAGGCTGCTTGAGAGTGGTGAAAAAAAGCCCCCCAAATATTGAGTGAGTAATAGTTTTGTTGGGGAAAAAATGAATTTTTAATGTCAGAGGCTGGATAATTCACTCTGGCTCGCCAAAACAAGATAAATATATTTAGGAGAAAAGTTATCTCTTCTGCAAATTATTTGTTTTTGCAACAACAAAATGAAACAATAGATCCATCCTGAATTGAATGGCCCATGTTTGGCTCATGTGCCAAATAATGTGACAGAATGTGCTATCATGTTGTTAATTTATCATTTATAACAGTCCCAAATCTGCAGGGACTGTGTGATACTTGCATTTTGATATGGGCCAAATTCTGTGACTAATGTTTCCACTTTATTTAAATTGGGCCCATGAGTTAACATAGTTCTGAAGGAAAATGGCGACCAGGCCTGGACTGGTATCCTGTACCTATAAAAGCAGTGATAAAAAGTACATCTCGTTTACCTCAGTGCTGATAGAAAAGGATTGATCATCACTAACACAATCATATTTTTAGATAAGCATTAGAGTCATTAATCTTCTTAAGGGTCAAAGCTGAAAAAGGCTTTGGGCCAATCAATTTGAACATGTGGGGTGATTTCTAGCAGAAAACTGGAACAAGTTGTTAGTTTGATCAACTTAGTTTTTTTTTGTCAGCTTTTGTATTGATATTACACTGTCACAAGTACAGAGCAACAAAATGAAATCTCTGCATCTAACCCATCAGCTTGGGAAGCAGTGGGCTGCCATTGTGCGGCAAGGACAGGGGTGGATTTACCATTAGGCAATACTAGGCAGTTACCTGGGGCCCCAAGTTCCTGGGGGCCCCATAAAACTCTGTTTACATGTATAGTTAATACAACTATTCCTTATTTGTGCACATTAATTATGTTTTTGATAAAAAATCCTTTGGCTAAAATGCCATCAGAACCCTGACAAATAGAGAGGAAAAGGGGACAAGAAGAGAGGGACAAAACCTAGAACAAATAATGGATGTCTATTCTATTAACATTTCTCTATCTGTAGAATGGGTCTGTTTTATGGGTTTTTTTCTCAGGGAGCCCCCTGCCTGTCTTTGCCTAGGGCCCCAAATTTCCTAAATCCGCCCCTGGGCAAGGGTCTCGCAGGGGTCTCGCTCAGGGACCTAGAGTGTCAACCTCTGGATTCCAAGTGCAATGCCCTAACCACTAGGCCAAACTCCCCTAGAGTTAACCCATCTAAAAGTTCAATAGACTCTGACAACCTTATGTTTGAGCACATTGCTGTTTACTTGGCCAGACACCCTTTAGAAAGATAGTAAAGGCGAAGCAGTACTTAAAAATATAGGGAGAAAGGGACTCATGGTTGTAAATGTCAGCTCCAACTGCACACAGATCGTGTTGTGCTTTCACTCTTTTATGCTCCTACTTCTCCATCATACACACCATTGCTCTCATTATTATTTCAGCACTTGTCAGGAGAGCCTGGGTGCATGAATCCTTACAAACACACCCATGCATTCTCACACCTGCTCATTCATGCCTGTGCAGGACACCGGTGCTGAACGGACTGACAAATTCTTAGAAAAGTTCTCTGAAATAAACCTCCTCATCACATTATTAAACATAGAGAAGAGTAACTACTTGATCTCTGAAAAGTATACAAAGTTGAGAGCAATTGTTTTAGTGGAGAGAATTTCATTAAAAACACTTCATATCTGGCAGGTTTATGCTTCATCTTTTCTTCCAACTTCTAATGTAACCCTTTGGGAAAGATTGAACAAAATTTTTTTTTTGTTTCTGATTCTCTGCCCAAGCACTAATGAATACTTCTTGGAAACAATAAAGCTTGCTGCCTTGAAGATAAATTGTTGGTTAACTGTAAAGCTTGGATACTGTTTCGGAGGGAGTATTTTTCATCACAGCTCAAACAACAGGCCAAGCACCACGACAATACAGTCCCAAGTGTGGGTTTACATTCACTCAGGCATGCAATCACAAAAGGATGAAGGATCTGGTGGACTGATTTACAAAGCCTTGTAGGATGCACATTGTTTTAGTGTCGTCAGTCGGTTTAGATATCTTGTGTTCACACAAAATGAAATCAAACAAAATCATGACACACTGACACTCATGCCTCTCCTCTGGTTGGAGTGTAGACCGCTCCACGGGATATGATACATAAACATTATGTGTTAATGGAGATTTTGGGCAGCATTTTTTACTTTGTCAAAAAAAAAAAAAAGCTTTGCATACCCGGTATATTGTATTGATTGTAAAATTTCTAAACAAAAAAAATCTAAGAAAGGTGCAAAACATTGTCAGAATTAAACCAGAGAGTCTCCACTGAGACTCCTGCTCCATAAAACTATCAAAAAGATTGGCGGCCTACTGGTTAGGGCATAGAGCTTGGATTCCTGCGATTCTGAGTTTGAGCCCCACTCCCACAGACTGCCACTCTGGGTCCCTGAGCAAGACCCTTAACCCCGTACTGCTCCCCAGGTGCTGACAACGGTAGCCCGATGCTCACTAAGGGGATGGGTTAAATGCAGAGGTACATTTCTCCAATGTGAGATCTATAAAGTTCAGTTATTTTATTATTATTAAATCCAAGTGGTCCATGTAAAAAGAAAGAAAATCCCTGCTGATCAATGAAGAAAATGTGAATAACCAAATTTTTGTAAAGCTCGGATTCATTAGCCTTATCACATGCCTGAATATCACTGATATACAGAATAACACCATCAATTAAACGGCACCTGACTCACTGTATGAAGTGGGCTAAAATATCTGCAACATCAGATCCTACCCTTCGCTAAAGATATTCAAAGACAGATGAGAATTTGGGCTATATGTCAGTTTGGATAGAAAGGCATTTCTAATTATTTGCATGATTTACAGTGAGAAAGATTATCCACAAATATAGAAAATGCAGCACAGTGGTGAACCTTCCCAGGATTGACAAGACTCTACGAGCAGCTCATCAATGACTCACCGAGGAGGTCACTAGCATAGCATGCATTTATTTCCCAAGTTAAGATCAGTTTTCATGTTTTAATAATAATAAAGGGGCTAGACACAAACGACAGTGATTGAAGAGTTCATAGACCAAAAGGAAAACTGATAAAAATAGGTAAATGCTTGTCTCCCATTTAACCAAAAACACCACACAAAACTTATTGAAGAAGTAACTGTTGACTGACAAAGCGGCCATTTTTGAAAGATTTCAATAATGTTACATTCAGCAGAGCACAGCATGGTATGATGGACTTGTTTGCTATTGCCATTGTTTGCTAGAGAGCAAATAAAACTTGCTGAATTTTTCCATTTATGAGTAAATCCTGACATAGGAAATGGGTTCAAAGTTAGCATACGGGAGCATCTAAACCTAAACTCTTTCTCAAATGCACACACATTCATACACTGATATGTCAATTTGTAGGCAAATTGGAGCTAAGTGCCTTGCTTATTAGCACATCAACATGGGACAGCAGGAGGCTGAAATCAAACCAAAAGGGGGATTACAGTTGTGGCTATCCCTTTAAGATATCTAAATCATCATTTAAAATTTTTTTTCATATTGTACAAGGTTATTTTTGTGTTTCATTAAAATGTGTTTGATGATCCTAAACTTTTAGCAGAGACTAAAAATACAATAAGGAAGATATCTTCAATAACATTCCATCCATCTATGTGTCTGTCTAGGAGGTTCAGTATTTACAAATGAATACAAACAAACACTCTAGAAATATAAACTGATATATTATGGAAAATTCCATGGTTTATGCACTTTTTATTGCAGGAGATTTTCTTTAGAGAGATGCTGTCCTCTCAACAGGACTGATGAAGCATCTTAGGAAAATAGATTAAACAAAATTGGTAATCTGTGAATATTATTTGAATAGGCAATGGTTTATTCACAAAAGATCAAGTAGTTGAAAAAGAAGAATTGAAATGTTTTTATTTTGTGAAGGAATAAAATAATCAGTCACTAAGAAGGTTCATTTACGTACCTGGATAAAACAGCTCAGGAGAAAAACACACAAAAGTATTAAGCATAATTTCAAAGGATGTTTCAAAAAAGAAAACCAAAATAAAGAGATCAGGATATTTCCATTTATAGC